GTTGTCGTCGTTCCTCGCCTTATTATACGTCTAACACGCGTGCCCGTTGATGCTCGCGTATTTCCCTGTATTCAGCGTCGAAAACGCGTCGTCGTTGTCGTTCCTGGCGTCGGGGAATCACCGAGCGGTGTTACGACGATTGATTATCCGCGAGTGCGGAAGGGGCGGCGGGGAGGAGGGCTGCACCGTGGGGCCATCATCGCGATTCATGGCTCCGCAGCAACGACACCCTACCATCCGCCGATGTATAATTCGCGCGTGGGGGGTGAAGATTGCATTCTCTCCGCTTTCCCTGCGTGATGCCTTTTTTTGGCGGGCTGCGTGGCGCTACCATCGCCGCTGCCAACCCTCCACCACCTCCCGCCACCTACCACCCCGCCGCCGTACTTCTCTATGCCTGGCTTAATGCACACAACGCACACACTAACGCCGATATGTGCCACCTGCACGAGTAACGGACTGGATTGGTCAGCTGTGTCTCTCTCTTTCTCTCTCTCTCTCGTTTATTAGCTCCTCTCTTGATTCTTCTTCGTATATAACCGAACAAAAAAAACTTCAAGACGAATCTTAAGAAAACACGTAAAATCTCGTTAACTACGCACGTGAGTCTAATCGATCTCCTCTCTTCTCTTCCTACCTCGTCTGTCTAACCTCTGCAGTCCGCTTTTTCCAATTTCTAACGAGATTCTCAATCGAATCGTCACACGTGCTGTGTGCTTGTAGATCTTTCTTCGTAGCTTTCGATTCTCGACGAGATGTACTAACCCGCGATCGATCGTACCGAAGTGAACAACTGCGTTCTCGAATTACGAAGCACGTGGCCAGATCGAAGGTCAAAATGGAAGACCGTAGAGAGAGAGGAAGCACGCGAGAGGCTCGTAAAAGTACGTCGGCGTCTCGACGCTCGTCTCGTCTCGTCTCCCCTCTTCAGGAAGCCTCCTCGTCCAACAGCAGCCAGCTGATCAGCAGCAGGATGGCGTGTGGTGTCTGGTGCATGGCGGTGCAGCACAGCACACGCGTGCCACGAATGTAGGAAGCGCGGCCATGCGGCTTTGTATACGATGCTCGGGCCAGGCGATCGGCCGGGTACTAATGCAAATTAGAAATCTGTTTAAGAGGGTAATGATCAATACATAACCGGCGGCGGCGGCGGCGGCGGTGGCGGCGCCGGCAGGCGCAGACGCTGTGCGAAGAGAGTCATTCAATAAGTGTTATACGTGCCTAGCCGACGAAGGGGGAACGAACGACTGCACGACGGGTTGAACACCAAGTGACGTGCTACCCCCTATGGTCGTCACCGAAACTATCCGTCAGCCCTCGATACAGAAGCGCGTCGTAGCTTCTTTATCAACCGGCGGATCACATTTTTTCTTTATCGATGGAAGGACACGAGTGTCCTTTAAGTAACACGTGCATATTTTAACTACGACGATTATATGGTAAGTGTTTCACAGCTCGTAGAAACACAATTTACGATAAAAAATGAAAGAATTTTTTTTCTCTTGCTAGATAGAAGATGTAGTAAACATTGAACATCATGAATATTCATATGGAATATTTCTCGCAGATGGATGGATACTGCAAATGTTTCAGTTTCACACAAGTATTTCTCTGGCTTACGATAAACGTGAAAGAGACACCCTGTGTGTGTTGAATATTCTGTTTTCAACGGTGAGTTGTTACAAATAAATATATTCTGTATATTCAATCTCAAATATCACCTTTTTTTCTGTACAGAGGTAATTCAAGATTAAGCTTTGAACGTAACACTCGTCGGTACACGATATCGTCGCAGGTAAATGTTTCACTTGGAAATAATTGCTCTGGTAATATAGCGGAGAGGCAGCAGAAGGTCCCTTTCTAGTTCAGTGGGACAAAAAGAGCGTTTCCCCGCACGTGTAGTATATATCCATGGTGTATGCATCCAGTAAATTATCGACTGGCCTCACGGTAATGCCTCCCCCGTCGTTGCAATATTTACCAGCGCGGCCGCGGCCATGATCAAAGCGTATTCGTTCCGACGGAGCGAAAATTAGGCCTGCAGAAAACGCGAGCAAGCTGTCGGTGTGCTTTGACACGCTCTTCTCTCTCTCTCTGTTCGTCGTTTTCTCTCTAATAAATTCACCGATAACTCGTCGATATTTCGATAAACATTAATTCGACTTATAAATTGTTACGGTTTTATCCAATGGTCCGGTGGCAAGTAAATTCTGCCGGTGTTTCTCGTGCCGTTGTCTCCACGATGGTAGAACATCTTTTCGATCAATCGTGGGTAACGATGAATTACTCTACGCGTGCGATAAAAGTGGATATTTACGACGGGTTGAGTTTAGAGAGTAGGGAAAAGGGGTGGAAGAATTGTTGGGGTTATTGAACGAGAAATAGGGTGGTTAGATTCTGTGGAAAGAGACCAGGTGTCGCTGAAATGTCGCAGAAAACAGACCTGTGATTGTGATCCAGGGTGGAATGATCGGTCTTCGGCGCCGAGGAGACCAGTGCGTGGGACGCCAACGCGTGTGCGTGCGGACTCAGTCCGGGGTGCGGGGGCATCAGACCCGTCGGTGAAAACCGGTAGAGATCACTGGAAAAATTTTCCTAGTTTTTGGTAATTACAAACGTCACGGCTTAATTCAAGCATGCTTAATTCTCCAAGTCCGAGTGGGACTCAGACTTTTCATGCATTCCAAGCGAGTAGCCTTCCAATTCGAAGAATAAAGTAGACTATTTCAACCCTCGAAAAAATTCTAGGCCAAGTTTAAAACAATCTCGGACATAAAGGGTTGATAAAAATTCGTTAGAACTCACTCAAACTTTTAAAGGGTTAACCCCTTCGTAACAGAAATTTTTTTTTAAAGAATTTCTTATTTATTTATCGATCATGGGGTTAGTAAGGGATACTAAATTGAGATCAATTTTTGTCTGAGTACCTAAATGGGATATATACTAGTCACGAAAGGGTTAATTGAACGTTTCGTTGGAAAATTTGTGTAGGATTCATAAGTGTTTTATCAATGAAAAGAAAGTTTGCGTATGAAACTGTTAGTGTTAAATTGTAATGGTTTCTTGAACGTTTCCATTTATCGTGGGAACTGAAAGATCTGAACGATTGACTAAATCGATTTATCAAGGGTTTATACTTATAGTTTGCTATAATTGTTCTCTGTTAAGTTTGTAACTTTGAAAAGTTCCTATTGTGAATAGGAGTTGAAACGTTCAAATAGTAGAAACCTGATGAATAACTGTGGGTAGAGAAGTAGAGTTGTCGAGTAACGTGTAACAGGAATTAGGGTGTTTGAGTGAACTTGACAAATCCGATCTCGATCACCTACTAACCTTGGTAAACTAGAACTTGTGATGGGCAAACTCGTTGGATACGGACTTCGGAAACCAGTGCTTGCCGGGGAAATGGGGTACATGCTCGGTGTGTGCCTGAAACGAAACCGTTGCTTGTCAAAGGGAAGCTTCAACCTGAAAGCAATTGTCTTTACACATTACAATATCCATTGTCGGTAGCCTTTACGATTTCTCAGGCGTTTTCACGTTAAAACAACGCACAAATTCATTGAAATAGAAAAAAAAAATGAGGAGAATAAATCAAAGGAAAAGAAATGTATTAATTTCTCTGAAATCAGAGATAAATAAAGAAAGTATTAAACCACTGAAATTTCAGCTCACAGTAGATAATTCCAAATTTCTCGTTCCTAAATTAACACTTCCATCGCAATCTTTTGTTTTCTAAAGAAAAATGACAGAAGAATCGCGGTGAATATTAAATCTCCGCGATAAAACAAAGAACCGACTTCCATAATTCCCAATTTCTCTTTCTATCATTTCCCTCGATACCCACGAAAATCCTTCAACAATCCCTTCGTCACGCCTACAACTTTCCTCGAACGCGACGACGTCGATCAGAGTCAGCCGGGGAAAATCGCGGTTCCGCCCTCCTAATTGAGAAGAACGGGCCTAATCATCCGTGGAAAATCTCAATTTGGGGCGGTTCGAGCAGAAAGCAAATAACAAGGAGGGACAGAGAAGAGAGAGAGAGAGGCTGGGAGCAAGAGAGGAGGGTCCTCTGGTTACGGTCAGCGAGCGTTTATAGCTGAAATCGGCGACGATGGCGACCGATGTTGGACGTGGTCGATCTAATAGACCGGAACTGAGAGGATGACCAGGGTGAAACGGAGCTGTGATTCGGAAAAACGAGAGGTGAATCGAGAAAATTCATCGATCTGTCCTCCCTCTCTCTCTCTCTCGTTTCCTTGGACCTTGTGTTATTTCAACGGGTCGAGCTTTTCCATCGTTTGAATGGCTGACTGGCTGGCTGGCTGGTACACGAAAAGCTAAGGGGATGAAAAGGAGGAACCAGCAGAGGTTAAAATAAAAATCGCGTTTATCCTGGTCGAGTGTCGTCGCGTTCGAGGGGCTTTGAATCGTTAGTACGCGAAAGACGGAATTAACGACTGCTTGAGCGTGGAAAATCGGACGTTTCTCATGTAAATCGGCCCACTTCTCCTCGTTTCGAACGTCCGGAATCTCTCTCCGGACTTCTATATTTCGATTGACGGCGTATCGTGGGGCTATTCAACTTTAGCTTTTTTTATCCCTATGATTCTTTCTGTCTTTTTCTTTTTTTTTTCTTTTCGTCCACCGTATGAAATGGTAAAATGATTTAACGGGTTGATCGTTCGAACGGTGAAAATTATCGGCCAAATTATAATATTTCAATTTATTAGAATTACCACGTTGACAGGAGGAAAGGGTTAATTAAGCTTCGTTCTCTTTTCTTTCTTTTTTTTACCGTTCCTTTTACGAGAGAGATATCGCGAGGAGATGAAGATGAGACAGATTCATTTATTCAGCTTTTTGCCGGTGACGTTTCCCATCGGTGAACGGGTGTATTGACTTACCAGGAAGCGGCGACTTGCGTCATTTCCGGGCTAAGCATGGGGTACGGATATTGACCCGTGGAGAAGGGATACATCGGTGCTCTCGTCAGACCTGGAACAGAAATGAGGATGCTATTGTTGCGTTTTATGGATGCACGGAGAAGATACGCCGGGTCTTATCTTCAAAATTCAGATACATCCATGGTAAAGATACGTCTTCGAGAATATTCTCAATATCGGAGAATCTTCCTACAATTTTCATCTTACACGGTATAAAGATACACTTTTCGATACATCTTCTTTTGTCATCTTCGTTTCATCGGATTTCGGCATTAACCGCGAACAATGTAATTTTTCAATTTCTCTGTTACAGCGAGAAAATCCTCGTACACGTTCAAGAAACAGAGAACACGTAAAAACACCGAGTCCCTATGATTGAATTAAAAATGCAAATATTCATCGTAGCTTATTTGCATGGAGGTTAAAATACGGATTAAAAAGCTTGCGGATTTTAAACGAAATTTATCCATATAAAGTGAATTGTTAATCGAAATGAAAAATTCATAAACATTCTATTTGGCGGTGAAGAAAAATAGGTCTGGTGAATTTTAAATGAAATTTATCGATAAAAAATTAATTTACTATTAATAAAAATTAATATACTTGGAAAATTCGTTAAAAACAGATGTACGGTGTATCGATGGCTGTAAATATTGTTAATCAACGTCTGATTATCGACGTTGGATGAATTTCGACAAGTTCGAACCGTCGACGAACCGCCTAGAGTGGAAACAACCGCAATTTGCTACGGATACTTTTCCACGGGGTTGGTTCATTTGCCGCGACACGATGTGCCGTCGGCGTCGCGCCTGTCGGCCGCGTATTAACGGATGCAGAATAAACATTATTACGGACGAGATCAAAGAAGAGCGAGCCGGTTGGAGGAAAGAAGGACTATGTATTTAATATCGAGCGGGTTTGCACTACAAATATGAACCGGGTGACCCGGCTAACAGGCATCGATCAGTGAATCCAACCCCCCTTTTGTCGACCATCCCTTCTCGCTCGCGAAGAAAGTGTGTTTGTTGAGAATTCGCATAGTGCATAATTTCCGCGGAAGAAGGTAGAAGTATTCGTGTTTAATTTATGTTTGTCAAAGTAACGTTACTCTGATAAATTTTTCTCTCATCGTTGGTCAATTTTGTATCTAAAATTGCGAAAAAGACAGTGTAACCTACTCGTTTCATTGTAACTTTATTTATCACGAATAAATATGCTCTGAAATGTAATACAGTGTCGAGTTTTTTCAGATCTCTCAGTGAAATCAAATCTCCATTAAATTTGCCCTATAAAATCCTCTTCCACCCTTCTCATCAATTTGACCAAGACTCCTCGAAAAAAAGACCTCGCTCGTTTACACTACACTCGAACCCTCGAGAAGAAAAAGAAACACGTGCCACGAACCGGAGTGAAAGAAGAAAAAAAAAAAGAAAAAATCAGTATCCACCATTCGAAAGCCATGGTTCCACCCTATCAATAATTACTCGAAAGTTTCTCCCTCTCCATGGACCCTGTCACCCCGTGTCGTCGTTACACGAGTCTCGTATACACAGCGAGGTACGAAAAAGGGGTGCTCGCGTAGCTTTCACAGTGGCGGTATCTAATATATAAACCGGGTACGTGCTGCAGAACCGGTCGTGGCCCCCGAACAGCCCCAGAAACGTCGACTGCCGGCTATAAGTGGGGTGCCTTTGGCGAGGCGAAGTGTAATTGGCTTCATAAGGGTCGACGAGAAGCGGCCGGAATATCGGCAAGCCTGAAACCGCTTGACGAGGCCAATACTACTCTCTTCCCACTGTCTCTCTCGAACTCAGTTGTCGTCGTCTGCGTCGTCGTCGTCGTCGTCGTCTACGTGGAGACCAACTGTGGACTCGAATTCTCTTTTCACCTTCCGCAAACTCCCATCCCTTCTACCAACCCACGTCTCTATCGTGTTCCTTTTTGCGTTTCACGGGCTGAATATGTCCCGAAGGCTTGTGCTCCACTAGCCCGCCACCCTCGTCGTCTCTACATGAAATCGGTCAACGCGTGGTTTTCCACGATAGGGCCACTCCAAGCCCCTGGATAACGACCGTCTATCGTTCGACCGTAAAGAGATCGGTCCTGGGGCTCTCGATCACCACTGGACAGGGTTGCGAGCCGTTTGTGAACGTGTTACGGACGTGGTTTCGATGTTCTTGATGCTGATGGAGCGGAGGTGTTCGGAAGAGGGGAGAGTGAGAATTTTGGACGATCATAGACGACTTTACTTGGGGACTGTCGTGTAAATTTCAGTGTTAAACCGAGTTTGGAATTTTTTTAAGTATGACGGTAATATTGTTTACATATTATCAGATTCAGGTGGATGTTGGTTATAGTAAAAAGTGTTATAAGTTGGATCTACTACATCCTAATGCTTCTCCGTTCTTTAAGAGACCAGTTTCTTTACTACTTGTCTGACCATTAAAGGATAATCTACTTGGAGCGACGACCCGTTATCGACACGCACTTCTTCCTACAATTATTACTTGTACAAACGAGTAATCCATTATCTTTCGTAGTTTTTACAATTTTCCACAAAATGGTCGCGATTGTTTTAACAAACTTTCGCAAAAACTACTCAAGCCTAACTAAAAGAAAAAAAAAAAGCAAAATTCTAGCAATCACAAAACACCGAGAGAAACCGAACCCTCCGAGAAGCTCTCCAAGATAATGATTCAACCTCATCCATCCTTCCCACATCCCTGCGCAACTCACCGTTAAAGATGACTCATTTACATTCCTCTGGAAGAGGCATTCAAGCCGATCTCCTCGCTTCCCGAAGAATCGACGAAGCTCGGTAACGGAAGACACACCAACAGAGGTTGCGGCGATATCGAAACCAGTCGCTCACGTAGACAGACCAGCACAGAAACGTTAGGTAGATATATACGACGTAGTCTCGCAGAAACGTAGGAAGAAAGGGTCGTTATCTGTCCGATACCCGTGTACGAATAAGGTAAGGGACGAGAATTAGAAGTACGAACCTCGCCGCGAAGATAGAGAGAGTATGGAGAGCAAGAAGAAGCTGGATGATATAAGGGAACCAGAGAGGGTTGCAGGGGGGAGGGAGAGAGGCGGTAGTGGAGGTAGAGAGGACGGCGGAGGTGGGTTGAAAGGGGTGGCTCGTAATATCCTGGCGAGTCCGCGGGCTCCGTCATGTGTGCTTAATCACTTTCCAGTCGACTCGGCAGTCTGCAACCCCATTATCGGGGTCTCACCACCCGGAAAATTACTCTTTTATTCTCGAACAACTCGAGCTCCCGGTGTTCCGTATACCGCGATATTCTCTGTCTTTCCGCCCCTCGTCCTCCTCCCTAACCCCCTTCTTCTTCCCCCCTCGCCGTTCGTTCCTCCTTGCCTTCTCCCTTCGCCGGTCGACGACTTCGATGGTTTTCGACTATTTTTTCTTCTTTTTTTTTCCTCCTCTCGCTCTCTCTTTTCTCTTCTTTTCTTCTTACAGAGAGACATTCAGAGGGAATTTCCTACCCCATTCTCGTTCGTTCGTTCTCCCGACGGTTCTACTAGGAGGCAGGTTAAGTCTAGTTCGCTCTATTAGAGGCTATCGTTAACATTTACCCGGTTCGTGGTTACCGGCGGAAGACACGGGGAACCGTGCGCGTGTGTCTCCACGGGGAGGGATGCGAAATCGACAAAGGGACGGAGAAGGAACGAGAAGGGTGATCCGACGGATGCTCCGTGCAGAATCTTTAATAGAGATCGGGTATTACGGAGAGAATGGGATGACGTGGGAGGATCTGCGTTTAGAATTTTCTGCGTCCAGGTCGGTTTGGAAGAATTCATTTCCGGGTGGGCTCGTGTTTAACACGTTCGCTGCCAGGGTCTGAGAAGAAAATCTTGTACCACAGCCCAGGGTGGTTTTTGTTAGAATATGTCCTTAAATTGGCATGGGTCTTCTCAGGATATATTTGCAACATTCCAAATAAGCAAAATAATTGTCTCTAGACCAAGGATATTCTACATCTATTTTATCGTTTTTAGCTCAGCAATACTGTTCATTTCCAAATTTCTTGCAATACGTTATCATAAACTGACGAAGGACACGCATCGCTCATCTGCGTCGGTGGTAGCGAACGTGTTAAGGGAATTTTCGAAGGATCTGGGATTAAATGGATAAGTTTTGTAATTATTGTGGTGGTTAGATTATTCTGAATTGCAGTTACGATTTAGAAGAGCGTTCAGTGTGTTTCCTACTATTTATAGTTGATTATGAAGTTTTGTATTAAACAGAATTCTACTTTTTTCTATTTCGTATTAACCCTCTGCACTCCTCGCAATTTTTAATACGATCTACCAGAAACTCTGAATCATTTTTACTATGGGCTACCAGCTACTCCGAGAGTATTTACAATGGTGCCAGTGCGCCTCTGGGGAAGATACTTTGTAGGCGTTCAATTTTTCTTAAAAATATATCTTACAGTGTCGCCACGGTGGCGACAACGGAGTGCAAAGGGTTAATAGAAGTTTTATGGTATAACAAAATTGATTCTCTGTTTCTCTATGTTATATAGTCCACATAAGCTATTACTTGAAAAATGAAAGAAGGGAATAACGAAAGTTACATTAACGAGTCAAGATAATTTAATGATCAAAATATTCCACGCATCTTTCCATAAAATCGACAAGATGTACCCAGACAAATACAGAGCCATTGCAGCCGATAACTTAAGTGGATCAACGAAGGACTCTCGAAGAGCCTAAACAATTAGGCGAGCTGATTCGAAAAGCTACGAAGAAGAGAAAAGACGGAGTCTCTTAATCAACGAGACGATCAACAGCCCAGTAGTGCAGCCATAATCTTAAGGACCCGCACTTGGTCAGGTTCTCCCCTTGACTTAGTGCGCGAGGAGAGGAGGCTCCCGAAAGAATAACTTTCGCGTAAGAAGGACTGCCGTTCAGACTGGCGCGCGCACTCGAGCCGACACTCGAGGTCCGCCTCTGCCTCTCGCAAGGAGGATACGTTCAAGTGGTATTTTAACACTCGAACGAGAGGAAAAGTGTATTTACGGCGGCGCGGGGCGTGCGACACACGCGGAGGAAAGCCCGACAAAGATGTCAAAGTGACCGCTCGAAGTGGCGAGAAAAACTGGAGAACCTACTCGTGAAGGATTACGGTGCTCGAAGAATCGCACCAGCCGGCGAAAGAGGCCGAGTGGTTTTCCACGCGCGCGCGAGAACACGACAGAGGGGAATCACAGGGGGTGACTATCCATACTCCCTTTGCCTTGTTTGACGTTCTATTATGTCCATTAATCGACTGGTTTGATTTACTTTCTGCAGAATTGTGGCGGGACGTTGTGGCACAATTGATAGACAAACAGGGGTGGATATCGTAGGAAGATCGCAGATTTTCCTGAATTAGGGGGTTTCACATGTGGGTTAAGTGTTTCGAACTTGTATCGATGAGATTTAGGAATGTAGAGATTAATTTTGAGGAATTACATATTAGGGGTGGAAGAATAAGCAGACTTTCTTGTGTAAAATTTAACCCTTTAACTTATAACAATTGGAATCTTATCTATCGTTTTAATTTGCAAGACAGGATTAGCAAGTGTAACGAACCCTTCACAGATTAACGTTTGTTACCTGATAGAGTACTAAAACAGCAAATGGCTGACGCTTAGGTTAAGAAAAATATTTTGTTTAAGTAAGGGTTCCAAACCAAGTTAAATCCTTAACTTTTATTAAAATCAAGAAACAATTACGAATAAATATATGTGCAGGTATTTAAAGCTTTCAGTAAACGTCCAACGATCACCGTGATTCTCCCGCATTCTTCCCAAAACACGCGACCAATTTCCTAAATTGCACCTATCAAAATTTCCTCGAAAAAAAGGGACACAGTAGCTTCTTCACCCACAGCGCTATCCGCGAAACAATTCACCGGCCAAGGGTACGTGGAGAAATGCGATAAAAAAAAAAGGGGGCCAGGAAGGAAGAAGCGCCCGTGGCGGGGGTGGCTGTAGGAGAGAAAAATTAAGCGGATCAATGGTGGAGCCCCGGCGTTTCGCCGGGGGATGTCCTCTCTCAACCCTCCGTCGTCGTATCCTGTCCTCTCCGGCCCCTCCCTTCCTCCTCTCACACTCTCTCTCTTGCGCGGGCTCTCCTCTGTTCCATGGAATCCTGAAATAAACACGCTGGCGGAGATCGAAAAGTGGAGCTAATTAGAAATATATTCCTGGAAGCGAGAACGGAGCGAAACACTATGGCGGAGAGAGAGAGAGAGAGAGAGGGGTGGCTCTCCGTAGACGCGCCACGGGGTTTCCAACGCTGCTGGAAACTCTCGAACGAGGAGAACCAACCGTGGAGAGGAGAGGGTGCAACGGAGATCGACGTACACTAGGAAACCAACCTGTCTGACAAGGAGAGACGACCGCGTAACACACGGGTTACTACCACTACGTACAGAGAGAGATGAACAGGGAGAGAGAGAGAAAGGAGAGGAGGATGGAAACGAGGATGAAGAGGCGGATGGAGGAAGAAGAGGAGCAGCAGTAGAGGGGCTAACGGGGGGTGGGTTGAACGAGAGAGGTGGCGGCGGTGCTCTCGGTCGGGTGCTACGTAGCACGAGAGAACGGGTGAGTGAGTGGGTGGCGGCTGAACAGCGCCGAGAACCCCACCTCCTCCACCTTCTCGCCGTTCTGCTGGCGCGAGAGAGGAACCGAGACGGGGAAGATTCTCTGTCGTGCTCGTCGAGCACAGGAGGGAAAGGAACGAGGGTGAACTCGAGCCCACGGGGGAAGGAAGGAGGAGGTGGAGGTAGAGGAGGGGGACAAAATGCTCGCTCGTTTGCAAGACAAAGAACCTGGAGCCGCCGTACGAACTCGTAGTCGTGCATAAACGCTATCAACCCCATCTACATATTCCAGGGACCTAGGGGACGTGGGCGAGTGGAGGAGGGTGGAAGGAGGGAGGAGGAGGAGGAGGTAGGCCCGAGGCAGAAGGAGAGGAGAGAAAGATAGCGCGCGCGCAAACACGTCCGGAGTCTCCAGGCCAGGCTTTCTATCTCTCTCTCTCTTTCTATCTTTTGCTCGTTTCCTATCTCGCTTTGGTCTGGCTGAAACGATACCCAGGGAACCCTTCCAGAGGGAGAGAGAAGGAGAGAGAGAGAGAGAGAGAGAGAGAGAGAGAGAGAGAGAGAGAAGAGGAATGGCGAACCGAATTAGAATCATTCTCCTCTCTTTTGGTGATTTTATTCCTTGGGAAAAGAGCCAGGAGAACGCGTATTGTGAGAGTAATGGAGCGTAATTAGAGTCGTCGTTGGGATAGGGGTGTTCCTGGCGGGATTCTAGGGGCGTCAAGTGATTCGAGCTAATAAATTACCAGGAAAATTCTAATTTTTAGAATATATATATATAGACGACGTCGAAAGAAGCTTCTATAGGATGCTGATAAAATATCAACCTTGAGGGTTAATCAACCTTCCCCCCTGAATTAATGCGAAGCCACGAGGTGCTTCAAAAACTGATCCCTCCTATTCGACCTCGTCCAGTACCCTTCTTAATAAAAAAAAAAAAGTAAAAGAAGAGAAAGAAAGAAAAATTGTCCCTCTTAAAGCAGTAGCATGTAGAACATCTCGAAAAATCCGTGTCACCATATCGAAACTGTTCCCCAAAGGTTTCTCTCCCTCCACAAGCCTCGATCCTTCGATTTACGTACAGAGAAAGAAATGAACGAATAAGAGAGTGTATCCAACAAGGCTTGTATAGTTCGAAATCGTGGGTACGCCGGGAAAATACATCGGTCATCGACTGTTGATCCACACTGGCTGGCGAGTTTGATAGCAAGGGGTTCCCCAAAGGCAGGGGAGGCGGTCTCGGGGGCGGGTGCAACGAGGATAGGAAGGAGAGAAGCTGTAGAAATAGAGAGGCGGGTTGAAACCCCCTTGACCCGGCGCCAGAGGGAGGCTGCATGCCTGGCTGATTAGCCTAATGGTGAGTCCTCCTCTTATTCTCCTACTTGACGCCAGTTCGCGAGCCTCTCTTCTCTCTCTTATCCCACCACCACTTCTCTGTCTCTCTAACCCTGTCCATCCTTCTCCGTTACTCGCCCTCACTCTCTCTCTCTCTTCTGTTCTCTGTCGTTTCCCTCTGGGGACGCCTACCTACACTTCACATCTCTTCTTCTACTCTGGTTCGAGGCCTCGGCATCGGCGGTGGACCCTTGACTCGATAAGAAATATTCCTTCAATTAGGACCCCGTAGGAATATCAATGTTTGCACGACTACCAACAACGGACCACGACGACCAAGACGACGAGTTTTAATTCGCCTCGAGAGCAAAGGACACTGCGCCGCCGCCGCTAAGCGAGCCTCCGGAATGGCCTCTAGAGAGAGAGAGGAGTTTCCACAGACGATTCTCGAAACGCGGAAGCGTTTTACCCGCCTGCTGAGAATTTCTCCACGCGTCGAGCTAATTTTCTTGCTTGGTTTTTCATTTTCTTAGGTCTTTTACGAGGGAGAATTGTGAATTTGCGGTTAACGATTTTTGGAATGATTAAAATTTGGGAAGAATATCGATTCTTTTTTGCTAGAGACTTGGTATTTAGGTGTAGTCTAGATGGAATTAAATGGGTTAGTTGTTTAAGCTTGAGTCTAGGCACTGACAAGACCTGTTACATTGTTCGCATGTTACAGAGATGATGTTAATGTTTGCGAGCGGATCGATACGGTGAAATGCCAGATCGTGTTGCTCTATTACAGGGACGAGAAGTATTCCATCAATTACAATTCGAGAGGGTTGTCAATATTTGCGCCAACACTAGCGGTTTGACTTCGTAAAAGAATTATTGATTCAACTGGTACCAGCGGGGTTCGAACCGCCATAGTGTATGATTTGCGGAGAGAAGTTGAGGTCTATTCAAGGCTAACTTTCGCGTTTAAGAAGGAGAGAGGCTGCTCTTATGTGTCAATATCTTTTTAATCAAATTTTACCACATAATACCTTTTTTTAAAACGACGAATTCTAATATTTGAAATTTTTAATTTGAATTAAAATTTGAATTTCGAATCGTAGCAATGTAAAATTCAGAGCCTAATATACACACACGAGATAATATAACAAATTTGAAGCCCCCTATTCACCCTCTAATCATACAAATTGCTACCTCTACGAACGAATTTCGGTGTTCTTTCTGCAAACCGGTCCATTTGAAATTTCGAGGAAATTACCGGCGAAAAGAAGACGTTTTGTAGCGTACAATCTGTTCAAGTGGTCACTTAAAGCTGATATTCGGTACTCACCTGCCGCCGCGGCTGCTTTACCCGCATCCAGCGTCCCGTACGGTGGTATTCCCATATGAGCAGGCGGTGGTTGAGTCAGGTGGTCTCCGTTGGGGCAGAAGAAGGGCAACCCGCTCGGGTGAGTCCCCGCCAGGCCCATCTTGCTTGCCTATAAATCAAACGAAGAGGGAACACACTGTTAGCATGCACGTGATCGTGAAATCGGTACAAGTATATATCCGGCGTGGACGTTTTTGATGCGGCCGCGCAACACGGTGTATAGCCTTCGCGTGTCAATGTTGCATTATCGTTCTTAAGTAATTAATTAATATCACGTTGATTAATGCTACGTTAATGCAGGCCAGGTAATTAGTAGTCCGCTCGGGGATATCAATTAATTAATTGATGCCCCGGAAGCGTCGACAGGTGTTTGCGTGAGACGATATATAAATTGATTTCTTTCCTCTGTCCCGTCGTTTGATCGATGGCGTGTCGTACGAACGTTCCAAATGTCTGCCGCTAATTGAATTTCCAAACGTCAAGATATTGACGCTGAAAGAAAGATAAATAAAGTAGAAGAAAAAATGAGACCGAAGTGGCTTTAATAATTAACGTCACTGTCTGAGCCTTTCACCTGTGCACACTCGACGAAAAGATTATTCCTCGACTCTGATAAGCGATATATAATATATATGTATAATTTGACGATTAAAAATAGCGAATTATCGAAAAGAAAGAAAATCTAATAATAACTGCCTATTCCGATAATAAGCTTCAAAGAATACTCCCCACCGAAGAAGATTCATCGAGTGCCAACTATAGTTATCCTTAATCAAACAGCCTTTCCCCTCTCTCTCTCTCTCTCTCTCTCTCTGATCTCCACCCACCCCGTTCCACTATATACAACCTTCTATATACCACAACAGGCTGCTTTAACGATCCAACAAAGGTAGTATCCGATTCTTTGATCGGCCCCGTCGAGTACCATTTCCGTTCCTCCCTATTTAACATAGACATTAGCATCGTGTCTCCGCCGACGACCAGCCACCACGCCGATCAAAAAAATAAGGACAGACAACCGTTGGAGTACTAAAAAGCCCTCCGATGCGTCTCTCCTCTCGAGAAGAGGAAATATAATATACAATTCAATAAACTCTCGAAGGGGGAGCGCGCTTATCGAGGACGAGCTCGAGCATTAATTTGCAAAGACGGCGGGCGCGCGGGCTCGAACGTTCGAGGGTTCGTTCTCGTTCGGCTTTTCCATTCGCCGGCTCGACGACGTGTATCGCCCAATTCAAGTGGCCCTTCAGCGTCCTCTCGCGCGCGACTCGTCGCGACCCTTCTTCCCTCTCTCTTTCTCTCCCCTTCTCTCGCTCTGTCTCTCCCTTTCTCATTCTCCTCTTCCATCTTCCCTCTTCTTTCGTCGTCTAACAGTCGACGGAAGAGAATTAGTTCAATCTGGCCCTCTCGCAAGGTCGCCTCTCTCCCTGTTCCACCGACGCGACGACGGCGACGGACGACGACGAAGCCGGGCGACGATCGATAGCTCGAGTGGTTGTCTCTTATCAGTCGGTGCTTACCATGAGTGCGGCAGTATCGCGCATCGATCTGACGGCGAGTAATAGTCCTGGATCGAGAGGCTCCCTTTCCATCCAAGTCAGCACCCTCGACAGCAGACCGACAGTCTCTTCCGCGGTGGGCTCGTCTTCATCCTCCTCTTCCTCCTCGTCCTGACCCTCCTCCGCTTCCCCGTCGGTGGTCCCTTGTTGCTTCGAGCCCTCGTAATCGGCCCACTTCTCTTCCGCCTCGATCTTCACGCGACAACGATCCTCCTCGAGTTCCTTCTTCCTGACGCATCGCGACGATGCCTCGTACTCCTCCTCGAGGATCCACTTGCTCAGCTCGTCGTCGCTGACCTCCAGACCCACTTCCCTAGCTACGTTCTGTAGTTCCATTAGAAGCATTCTGTCCTCTTCCTGATCAGCTGACGCTACGCGTACACGAGAGGACAATGTCGGACCAACGTTGTTCGAACAATTAATCGTAGAATCGTCACGATCACGAGGCAGGATCCAACTTCTGGCAAACGTTTCCGATCTAACACTCAACCAAGCTCTGTGAAGATCGGCGAAGGCTTCCTTCAACGTGAATCTTCTTAAAAAAGCATTCAACGAATCGGTCTCCTTACCAGGATTCGAGATCTTACGATAGACACCGTAACATGCTCTAGATAGGACTCCGGTTGCTAATCTCACTCTTAGCTCCCTCACGACGATCCTCATCTCCAGACAATCTTTCGGTACCACGAACAATCGGACCAATCCGTCAGCAGCTACGCAGTCAGCCTCCGCTGGAAGATAATCCGCGCTCTCAGCTACCAGTACAGCGCCATCGGGGTGCATCGCCATTGCTGTTACTGCGAATTCCCTATGAAACCACCAGAGAAACAGGTCCACCGTCAATGATCCTCTACCACCGCCAGCGTAGATCACCGGTTGGCTGAGCATGTTGACCCGTTGCAGGCAACGTGGCCGCCAGTGGCGACCAGTGACCAGAAGTCGCGTCCTGTGGTGACCCTCGTGATCCGCCGCCCCCACCACCCACACCCTCTCAGCGTCGTCGATGGCGGCGGCGGCGCGACGCCGTCCAGGCAGGTCCCGCCAATCGAGGAAGGACACATGTGCGAGGTAGATTCTGCTGCAGTCGTAACTCTCCAATGCGCTTCTCAGACTTTCGATAACGGACGAATGCGAAACTGGCGGACAGGTTTTCAGGTTAGCTTGAGTGGACTGCGAGGATTGCTCGGGTGCCTTGTCGGACGTGGTCGATACAGAGGAGGAAAACGGCGAGGATGAAGATACGATCGTAGACGTAGGAGCACTATTCGACGTCGATGCAATGGACGTGGATGATTTTCCTGTTACGGTATCCCTGACACTACGTGCTCTAACCGAACACTGTCTCTCCTGCTTCCTCTTCCTAATTCTATCCTGATCACTTGTATACCTTCTACCATCGACGACGCTCCTCTTCTCCCCGGTCTCATTGAAACTCTCCTTACGAACGACATTCTCCTCGTTCCTCGAGAACGTAGACGTGGACGTTGTGGAGTGGGCCGGTGACGAGTTACTCTCTGATCCTGGCGATGTCGATCTCCTCGAGGACACGTCCGTCGAGGTAGACAGAGCTGGTGAAGACAATGACGTGGACGATGATACCGTACCGTCTCCATGGTTGGGATCATCCAGCAGCCGATCCTTGGCGATCCGATCGCGGCGCCTCTGCCTGCTTGTCGGCCATCGTTGCACCGGGGTGCCGTTTTCACGGGGCTCGAGGCCACTCTCCAGGGGTTGGCGCATGCGCGCCGCCCACGGCGATCGACCCTCGCACGCTGCCACCGCAGACTTACTCGTTCTGGTCGTAGTGTTGCTTCCGTCCACCAATTCATCCTTATTCCCTCTCGTCTCTTCGACCTTACCACCAGCTTCTTCTCTCGTGGCCTGTTCTTCCTCCTCCTCCTCCTCTTCTCCGCTCTCGCGACGACTTTGCTGCTGCTCCTCCTCATTCTCATCGTCGTGCTCGTGTTGATTATGACGACGATGATTATGATGGCCGCGTCTACCACCAGACTTCGAGGTAGCTCTACAGTTCGTCCGTGTGCACTTGCTGCCACCACGGGGCGACATCGTCGTCCACGACGTTCCCGCCGCGGCGGAGGAATCTCCTGGGCCACGGTGTACCTCTCTTTGCTACGAATCCCACGGATTCGGCGAGCGTTCGCGCGCGCGCGACCGCTCATCCACGGCGTGCCGGCTTCGCCTACCGAGCGATGACTGAGCGAGCGGCCGCGACGCAGCCGTCAAAGGCCGGAGCGGGAACTAGAAGGCTTTGATGTACCGCCGCCCCGGCGCGCACAAAGCGAAAGCGGCCCCGGCTCGTTGGTTGGCATGCCACGGGGGCGGGGGCGGATAGAGCGAGAGAACGGGAACACGGGCGAGCGCGCGCCACGGGAACGTCGACCAAGAGCGAGCGAGCGAGAGAGCGGGAGAGGAGGGAGGAGGTGGGTGGAGGAGGGAGAGAGGAAGCGAACGACAGCAGGACGGAGACAGTATCTATACCGGCGACGGATGTACAGTCGGGTAGACGGGTTAAGAGAACGTCTGGTAGGGTGGTTTTTGGGCTGGGTCACAGGGTTTTCGGGTGTTTTGGAACCGATTGTACGACACGATCATTTCAGAGAGGATGGGTTTTAGGCGATGTTAGGTTGGGACAGAGGTTTTCTTTTGGTGTGAGATACGGGTGGTGGATTGGGGTGAATGGGTAATCGATGACCCATTTTGGAGAGTTGGCCTCTGAAGTCTCTTTATTGAGGGTGGTTGGTATGTTTCTTTGGGCTTGTTGGAATGATGGGATGGGTTCTGGTGTTTCTTTTGGATTCACCTAGATAAAAGGTGGATTATTTATCGGTGTTAAGGGAGATGTAACCGTATAGAAATTTTTGGAATGTTGGAATATACTCTATCACTACTTTTTCTGTGCGTTAGAGTCTCTGAGGAATTCGGTTTAGAGATTAGAATGACGAAGTTCAACAAATGTCGGTCATCTATCTGACAATTAAAACAGAATACGATACTCGTTACTAAAATTATCCATACGTCAATATGGTACGTTAAATAATTTGCAACATATGTAAATTCGGTATATGGTTTCTTCAAAAGTTTCCATATCTTTAACAGCCACTCGTGACTGAAAGCCTCGAGAAGAAAAAGGAAATTCATCGATGACAAGGGAGAAAAGTGAACGGTAGCAACAAACCAATAAATTCTATCTGTCGTGGAGCAAAGTGAACAGTTAAACCTGTATAAACGCTCTCCAACGATTGCACAAGGGGTGAGTGTATCCGGCGGTCTCCGTGTCGCGGAACGCAGTTACCGGAATAGACGTTCCCCTTGGAAAGGGGGTGATCGAGCGCGAGCCGCGTTTATCGGTGCTCCAATTTGCACAGCAGAGAGGCAGTCTCTCGCGAGGCTTTTTTTTCGTAACTAGAGCGAAAGATCAGCGTGCTACACCAACCGAGAATAACATTCTGACCGATGTTTCCCGTCATTTCAGGGGAACAAGACACGATCGGTCAGACATGAAGAATTCGAAGAATAAATTCCAATTATT